CACCAACTCAGATACTGTCCCTTAGTCTTCTACGCTTCGCCATTGTAAAGGTATGTTATGGAGCCATAAAGACGCTTATTGTGAACCTCTATACTTGTTCTTGTGCTCTTAAAATGTTTAAATGAACTTTCTAAATCACTTCAGAAAATGGGACCTAGACTCTGAATTTATCTGCTTTTGATTAAGCCATCATTTAGGTCTGAAATTATATTTAGCCCTTTTCAAAATCTTCAAGAACGTGCTTAACTATATACACCTACACAAACACTTTGCTGAAGAGAAATGGATGCTGGCATGTATTCCTGTTTTTATGTACTTTCAAATATGTTATTAACCTCTTCAGCTATATCATAGCTAAATGAGACAAACGCTCTCGGATACTTAATCCTATACCCACGTTTTCATGAAGTAATACTTGGAGCAGGATGCTGAGGATAATATAAATGAAGCCTAAGACGGCAGCAAGAGCTGTCCAAAGTCTTAAACCAACTTCACAGAAAGTAAGGTATCAATAATATCAATACTGGTCTTAATTGAGTTTTTATGATGGCTGCTCCATCATAAAAGCCTGATGAAAGATGGACTGTGTGGGCAGCATTTTCCTAGCAAGGATGCTATCATAACAGCTGTGAAATAGTGGGTCACCTCTGCCGGTGCAGATTTTTATGAGCGTGGCATTTAGGCTCTTCTTCATCACTGGTGAAAATGCATGGCTAATGGTGATGATTATGTTCAAATAGTTCACTGTAGCCGAGAATTTTCGCTATCAAAGTGATTATTATACTCTTTGTAGTTTCTATAGAAATAAATAAGAGGCATGACTTTCTGAGTGACCTAAATTTTTAGTTTCATGCCTGTATTCCATATTTGTTCCTGAATGCTCCAGTCTATTACTGATGTTATACAATTTTGTTCTGAATGCCAATCAGCAACCTGGTACAACCTACACAAACACCTTTGTACCTTATTTGTGTTTTATTTTTATTTCAAATCAGGTGCTTAATTGTAGTGCTTGTAGGATTGCAAAACTCAGATTTTAGTTCAGAAAAATGTAACTATAAAAATATCAAGGAAAAATAATAGTTTGTAAGAAAATGTGAAAGGATGCTTAGATTTACATAATGGCATTATTCAGATACCCTGCTGTTTCACAGAGGGAAAAGTGCATGTGCACAATAAATACATTACACTGTGCCATCAATATGTTGCATTTAACTGCATTAGAGGCTCCATTTTTTTTCCCTCATGACTTAGGTAGCACGACGTGTTGGAAAACACATATTTCTTCATTATATTATTTAAATGGTTTGGTAGATCTGCTTCTAGATGATAAAGACAATTTTATTGCTCCTACCAAGTTGTTTATACTTAAAACAAATCTTTCATGCTTTTATACACAAAGTTTCAAAATATTTTTAAATGTTAGCATCTTAATAAGCCCTAACTGTGGCTTGGGTGGAATGTGACCAAAATCTTGTTTCATTGATTTGCTCTACCTTCAGGCTGCCTTGCTGCATGCATTTTTCTTAATGAGATCCTTCTGAATCCACTCGGATCAGGAGAGAGCTGTGTAAACTGTTTCATTCATGATGACGACATTTTGACCTATGATTCAACTACAGAATTCACTAAAAAAAAGTTTTCTTGAAATTCTGTTACTGGCTGTTGAATTTCATTTTAATGTGATGAAGTACTTGCTAGAAATTTTTATATCAGTAAATCCATTTTTACGGAAATTGATCTGTTCTTTGAAAATGAAGCTTCTAAATGGGATTTCTTTGGTGAAATAACATATTTGCTTCTAGATTTTTTTAATCCTCTACCTTTGCACTTTTTCACTTTTTCCTTCTTTTTTTTTTTTTTTTTTTTTTTTTTTTTCTTGTGTGTGTGTGTGTGTCTGTGTGTCTGTGTGTGTGCTTTTTCTGTTTAGGAAAGGGTGAAGAGAGGAATCAATTAATTTGGTCAAGAAGGGGAAAAACAAAAAGATAATTGCAAAAGAAAGTTTTCGGATGAACTTCCATGTATTTTCTTAACTTTTTAAAAATTATTTTAATCTTCTGATGTAACTTCCTATGTAATTTCAGAATTATAATATTATAATTTTTGCCAGCTCAGTTTTTTTTCCCTCTTCACTGCATTTATGTACTGAAATACATGAGAAAAATCTGCTATGTGTGTATGTTTCCCTTTGTAAAAGAAAAAAGAAATTAAGGACTGTGTTACTGGAAGTCATATATGGGCTTGATTTTTCAAGATGAATGCCCACAGTCTGCCTGGCACAAAGTGAATTTGAGGCACTTGTCACATGACCTACTCTTTTATAGCTTTGTTACAGAGGCAATGGCTGAGCAGTAGCATTAGAAAGGGGAAATGATGACAGGGAAAGCCTGGTCAGCAGTTCCCTATGGCAAATGGAAACAGCTACTCTGAAAGGGTCACTCAGAAGAATATGTGAGTAATATACAGGTAGACAGTGAGAGTGAAGGAAAAGGAAGACTTAACAATGATACAAACTGGCACAAACCGAAACAAAAAAAAGAAAAAAAAAAAAAAAAAAAAAAAAAAAAGAAAAGCACAAACCATTTTGGAGCAATGACTACTCTAAGAAAGAGTTACCAACCGCACATTTGCCACATAGATGTAAGGAAGCTACTTCAGAAGCATCTTAGGAAACAGAGAATATCAAAGAATATCCGAAGTTGAAAGGGACCCACAATGATTATCAAGTCCAGCTCCTGGCTCCACATGGGACCACCCAAAAATCAGATCATGTGTCCAAGAGCGTTGTCCAAATACTTTTTGAACTCTGGAGGCTTGGAACCATGACCACTGCCTTGGAGAGCGTGTTCCATGCCCGACCATCCCCTGGTGAAGAACCTTTCCCTAAAACTCACCAGACTCTCCCCTGACACAGCTCCATGCTGTTTCCTCTGCTCCTACTGCTGTCACCAGAGAGCAGAATTCAGCGCTACCCCTCTGCTACCCTCATGAGGAGCTATAGGCTGCTATGAGGCCTCCCCTCAGCTTCCCCTCCCATAAAGAGTTGGCGTTTCTAGAGAGCAATTCAGTCCTTAGCTGGACCCTGCTCCTTCCTCTCTTGTGTGGCATCCCACAGTACACGGTACAGCTGGATGGAAGAAATAGGGACTCTCCCACACTGGCCTATCTTTAGATCATGTCATTCGTGCCCAGGAAGGACTGTTTCTGCTGCCCTCCCAGCCACTCATATTGCAAGTATTTTGAGATTGGGCTGCTGTGAGGAAATAGGTAAAACCTGTATTGGCACAAGGTTTCTGGTGAAGAACTGTTAGATCTCATAGAACACTGTGAGAACAAAACCTCCCTGAAGTCCCCTGGTGAGTAATGATTTTGCCATCTGACACCTCTCCCGGCATAGCCCCACACTCGCTGCCAACAGCCCCCCCTGCTGCTGACCTCATATGTTCCACCTGAAGCTTTGCAGAAAACGCAGGGCACCATTTAATTGTTTTTATGAGTATCTTTATTTGTCTTAGAACTCAGCCTATACTTCCCACTGGTCTCGTTCCCATCTGCACTCTGCAAACGGATCAGTGATTTCACTGCCTTTTCAATAATTCAGGCTGTGTGCTTTAGCGATGTCATCTCGGGAAAGAAGCACCAAGGCGCTGCGCTTCCCACCGGCGGGAGGAGGAGGAGCACGGCGGAGGCTTCCCTGAACCTTTCGCTTCATTTTCAGAGACATTTGCATCAGAAAGGTCCAGTCCCTCAGACAAAGGTCAGATGCTCTTCAGCGGGAACTTTTCCCTGAAATCTGACCTCAGACCCAAACTTTCTGCATCAAAAAAGCATCTTTCCTCACCGACATCTCCAATATACAGGAGCACGGTATTTTTGCTCATTGCAACACAATGCATTTTAAGACATGCGAGGCCAAAACACAAGGCTGCTGTATTTCAAGCCCAGGCTCTTACTCCTACAACGCTGCACGTTAAGAAATGCCGCCCCGAGAGGGCTGGAGGCAGCACACAGGCCTCTGATGACACCCCGAGCTCTGCGCGGCCCCTCCCGCAGCAACACCACCATCTTGCAGCTCTCGGCGCCGGCGCAAATTCCGCGCAACGCCGCGGGCAAAGGCTGAGTCTCCGCTTCTCCCCATCCTGTCCGCGGGGGCGGTGTCCGCTGGCGTTGTCGGCGCTCTGCTGCGTGGGCGTGTGTCCGTTCGTCTGTCTGTCCGTCCGTGTCCCCGCAAGGCGGGGCCGCGCAGACCGCGCCGGCTGCTGTCATCTGGGAGCCGGGGCGTGGAGCGGAGGAGGGCGCAGGGGGGGAACGAGCATCCTTCAGGCCGAGGCTCCGTTCGTTTCTGCGGGTTCCGTGCCCGCTCTTGGGCACCGGTACCAGCGAAGTACCTGCAGAATCGGTTTGCCTCCTCCTCCTCCTGTTTTTTGTGTTTTTTTTTTTTTTTTTTTTTACCTTGGTGATTTTTTATTTTTATTTTTATTATTATTTTTTTTCCCTCCCACGAAGAAGCTTCCAAAACTGGGCGAGAGCTGATTTCCCGTAGATGGTGCCGCGGCGGGGAGGGCAGCTCCCTTGCCACCCCCGGGCCGGGGGAGCAGCCCCCGGCTCCGCTCGCCCTGCCTAGCGGCTCCTTCCGCGGCACCGGCAGCGGGGCGAGCGGCAGCCGTCAGCCCGCAGCCCCGTCCCCGGTGGCGGGCGGCGGCGCCTCCGCTGAGAGGCTGCGGGGAAGATGCGGCCCGGAGAAGCCCGCCGCGGGGAGGGCGCTATGCGGGAGAGATAACGCGGCTCCGCCAGCAGCCGGGGGCGTCGCGGTGCCGGCGGGGGGAGTCAGCAGCCCCCGGGACCCGGGAACCTCCGGAGCGGGCCGGAGAACGGCGGGACGCGGCCCGGCGGCGGGGAGCGGCGATTTGCCGTGCCCGGCTCCGCGCCTCGGGACCGGCGTGCGGGAGGCTGAGGAGCGCGGGCGGCAGCAGGAGGAGGAGGAGGAGGAGGGCAGCGCCATGACTCACTTACAGGCAGGGCTCTCCCCTGAGACTCTGGAGAAAGCCCGGCTGGAGCTGAACGAGAACCCCGACACCTTGCACCAGGACATCCAGGAGGTGCGGGACATGGTCATCACCCGGCCGGACATCGGCTTCCTCCGCACCGATGATGCCTTCATCCTACGGTTCCTGCGGGCCAGGAAGTTTCAACACTTCGAGGCGTTTCGCCTCCTGGCCCAATACTTTGAGTACCGCCAGCAGAACCTGGACATGTTCAAGAGCTTCAAGGCCACCGACCCGGGCATCAAACAGGCGCTGAAGGATGGTTTCCCTGGCGGGCTAGCCAACCTGGACCACTATGGCAGGAAGATCCTCGTCCTTTTTGCTGCCAACTGGGACCAGAGCAGGTAAATGCGGGGCCACCTGCCTGCTTTTATCCCTTCTTCCCCAGGGGCATGTGTGGGAAAAGCTGTGCCAGAGCAGAGGGAGTGGGTGGGTGGACAGTGGGACACACGAGCAGGGCAGCAGCCTGGAGGTAAGGGAAGAAAAGAAATGTATTTGATGACTTAGCACCTCTTCAGCCATTTCATCCTTTAGGCTCTGAATTTTTGGGAGCTGCTCAGGTGCTCTTCTCAGTCAGGTGCTTTGGGGTTTATGCCCATCTGCTTCCCCTTCACCACAGGGGTTGATATGGCAGATGCTATGCTCAACCCTGACAAAGGCTGGCTGCACTCATTGTGCTGGTCTCCCTGCTTCAGCACACACAGAGCTGCTCAGGTACAATAGGACAAAGTGGGAGATACTCTTTGCAAGTCAAGGGTACCCATCATGGTTTTGGAGCTGAGAAGTTTGCCCGTGCAAAAAGCTGAGGCTCCAAATCCTTTCCCTCATCTAAAGAAAGCCCTTTCTGAGCCACCTGGAAATGCTGGGATGAAAGTTATAGTAACCATTTCTTTTCCCCACTCATGCTACTCTGAGTGTGAATCCACTTGCTGGTATGATCCAGGCATACAAAGCTCTGGTGGCAGGTTGAAGGAGGCTGATGCAGTCTCCAGAATAATCTCATTCTTCTGGGGACTGCTCTAGCCTGAAGATGACTTGGCAGGCTGGCCAGAAAACTGCCTATCATTAGGGCCCTTTCTTTTAGCTTTTGGCTGGGTATTATAAGACTGTCAGATGCCATGCCTATTTTCTCCTGCAGTCGTAAATCACCAACACAGCTTGACTTCAGAACATGTAAGTGTGTGCATCCATAAAGAGAGGACTCTAAAACCTGCAGCTTTAAGCACTGCATCTCTAGGCTTCTCCAGGGTCTTCATTGCATGCAGATTTAAGATCTGCAGCACTTAGTGAGAAAATCAAAACACCTGCTAGTTGCCTTCACCCACATTATCCTATACAGACAACACAATCTGGGCAGTGGCAGTGCTGAGCACTGAGGGATCTCCCTCAGCTGCTTTGAAACGGGCAGGACACAAATGTTGATCATAGTGGATAGAATGGGTGCAGAAGTATCAGTGTTTGTGCAAGGCCCTCCCACAGGCTGTCCATGGCCATTGTGGGAGGGGGCTCATTCTGCTCCCATTACCAGTAGGTGCTTCAGCTGGAGTGGATCTCTGCCTGCTGTGCCTTTCTTCCTCCAGATAGAGTGGCCACATACATGCTGCCTGCCAGAGAAGCTTCCTTGCCCCTGCTAGCCCTTGGGTTGTACCCAGGGGTCAGAAAGTTGCTGTCTAGCACAAATTGAAACTGCACCCACCACCACACTAACAAGGAAAATACAGATGGAGGTGGGCAGACCTGGGACCAGATCCTCACTCTGGTGTGGTTTTCTGGCATATGGAGCCACTGACGATAAGTGATGAGCCAGGGTGATGTGGCTGGGGACTCTGAGGAGCTTCATTGTCCTTCCTAGGGACCAGGTCAAATTCTTATTTTAAAAACAGCTCCACAAACTCTTAAAATCAGAAAAGGAGGCGTTAGCAGAGGAGTGGATGTTTGGGCCGTTTATTAAATCATGCATCTACCATGAAGAATTTCCCATGTTTAAGATAGCATGGACTGCTAAATGCCATTATTTCTCAGTAATGAAGAAAATTCCTGAAACTTTCTGACACTTTGCAGATCATCAGCACTTAATCAGATGAATACCAAGAACTGGAAACCTAACCTAAGGAACCTGCTTTAGCAGGGGAGGTGGAATATATGATCCCCTGAGGTCCTTTTCAACCCCTATGATTCTGTGGTTTTGTGTAACCTGAGCTCAGACAGATTAGCACTTCAAAAAACATATATATATATATAAATTGCCATGTGAATAGAATAACTTCATTTTCTTCTTAATTTTGATTGTGCTGATATTTAAATTGCAGGAGACCAGCTGACACAACAGTACATTTACTGTGATTTTTGTCCGTAAGTGCTGTTGGTACAATTCTTTATCTTACAACAGCAGAGTGACTGAGGTCCACCAGCATACCCAATGGCCATGTCTGCAGCAGAGCTCCTACTCCTCAGCAGCACATGCCTCAAGCATGCTCTCCTCTGGCTGAGAGATTCATTTTGAGACCACAGCACAGACAAAGGGGAGAGCCCTTGAGCCTAGCTGTGGGGAGTGGCTTGCTCCAAGGCTTGGTACACATCAGCAACAGACCTGGGAATGAAGCTAGGCCACTCTTTCTTCCTAATTATCCATTTCCATTATCTGTTGTCCAGCAGCTGCATCTATGGGGTATTGTGTGGGGAGCACACTGAGGTTTCTGCACAGTATGTCTCAAGCTCATGCTCTAACTGATTTGAAATAGTGAAGCAAGTAAACAGTGTTCCTCTGACAGCAGTGCTGGGAGGATTCCTTTTCAAAGTTTGTTTTGTTAGGACCTTATTACATGCTTCATAAACTAAGTGAATAGAGCGCAGCAAGTCTCCAAATTTATTATGGCCAGCATGGAACCATTAGAAATAAAAAGTTCTGAGGTTTTTTTTTTCTTTTTTAGATGAGTTTCAGACATGCTATAAGTAATTTATTTAGCATCAGTAGTCTTATCATTTACACTGTTCCAATTAGAATGAAAAGCATGGGAGGCAAGAATTCCTATGGTAAAACAAACCCATCTACTCAGTGTTAAATCATTAAATTAAAGCAGGGCCTGATAACTGTACCAGCTGTCCTTCCTTCTGAACAACTAAATCAGGATCAAGTAGCCCAACAGCTTTCCAGACCCTGTTCACTCTCCATTTTCCTTGCCAAGATGACACTTGGGGTAGTGGGATCAGCCTCCCACATGAGCTTCCAGGCCATGGATTCATATCTGTGTGTGGCTTGTAGGTGTGTATTTGCATTTGAAGATTCCACTTTTTCACATGTCCAGATGGTGAAGTTGTTTTGGGTTAATGGCATGAATAACTTCAGCTCTCACAGCAAAGGATCTTTTGCTGTTCATGTTCTTCAGTATGCTTTGTAGCATCTGTACACAAGCTCCTCATAAAATTGGTCCATTTTGATGCTATTTTCTTGAGCTCTTTCCTTGTATTAGCTATCTCAGAGATTTCCTAGAAAGTGCAGGGGACAAGTACACTAATTCATGGTTCTTGTCTGTGGTGTAGTGACCATGAAGCAAGGAAATCTGAGTGTGTATACCTTGTGTATATCTTGAGGGCTCTTCTTTCACTGAAATTGTGAAAAAATTATTAAGCCAGAACAGTAGATTAGAAGTGAGATGATGGCTCAGACTCAGATAGCTTTCTCCTTTAAGCCACAGTGGCACAATGGCTCATTTGAAAGAAATTTTTATTTGCCAAGACAGAGATGATATTAAAATACAAGTTGTGGATTCTATACGTTTGGCACTTTCAGGAGACATGTGGTTTAAATTCAAGCAAAGGATTTGTCATTTATGTCTTCTAGTTAACAGTTTGCACCTTGAGTGACATAATCATTCCACCCAGTTTTAATCCTCAAGTTAACTTAAAACTTTTTGATATTGTGGGTAGGATGGCAATTAAGACAATAGGATAACTGCCAAATTGGATTATCTGTTGTTCAATCTGAATGTGAACTGGCTGGAATCAAAATGTGTCTAAACATAAGATGTGGTGGTTGCCACCTATCACCAAAAATGTTTGGTATTAAAAGCAGCTGTCTGCTAGATTTGACAAGACTTCTGTCTCCTGTGTTCTCCCTATCCTGTCCTTCTCTTGGCCATGTGGAAACCACAGTGGCTTCTGGTAGCAGAGTTAAAAGGTGAAAGATTGTAGTGAAGTACTACCAAGAATGTCTTCCAGACTGTTTTTCCTATAAACCATTTGAAAACTTTGATGCTTTTTGTATCCCTTAAAAAATTCTCATAGAACTATTCTGTAAATTGCTGCCACTGTTAAATAACAAGAGAGTGGGATGTTCAGCAGGTTGAGCTGTTCTGTTCTTGACAAATCAAGGCCTCAGTGAGCGATTACTCTAGCAGGCCTTGTTGCTGTAGAAATGGTAGCCCTCTTACATTTATAAGAATCACTGTCAGCATGGCTATTAACTTGTCAGGCCTTTGTAGCCTCATTGCCTCAAAGTCAACTGGAACAGAACATTTCAGGAGGCAGTAGAGTGTATCTACACGCTGGTCCCCACCTCATTTGAACTCAAGCTGGGGTTGACATAGAAAAGGAACATTACGAGTGTATTATGTATGTGATGATGTATTTTCAGCTTGTGTTACTCACTTTAACAGCCAGGCTAAAGAAGTTGTCTGAGCTCTTCATTGAATTAAGCATGACTCTATAAATAGAGGACATTAAATACATATAAATTAGCCATGAGTTCTAGATTATCCTAGGAATTAGTGGTACCTTGCTAGCTACAGAGTGTGCTGGAAGAGTCTGCTGGAACAAGGGAACGTTGGGCATGAATAAAGCAGGACTTGTCTGTGCCCAGCTCACCTCCAGGCTGCCTCAAGACATGCACAGCAGTAAGGCTGCTAGTGCACCCTGCTTCCAACAGCTCTGCAGCCAATGCCTTGGAACTGGGACCAGAGTGAAATGAGGGTCTCCTAAATAAGCACTGCAACTTAGCACACATCAGTAAGAATAAAATGATTGTGTCTTTTCTTCATATTTTGTTCTCTTTACATTAAAGGTTAATATGTTATATTTTTTTCTTTTTGCTTTAAAGTATAGAAAAGCAGTCAGAGCCACTTTGTACAAAATTTATTTCACAGTCACTAGTAGCTCTCATCCTGCTTTTCTCCCTTTTCATTGGTTGTATTTCTGTATCTATATAGAATATAATTCCAGTGTGGAGTGAAAGCTTCAGCAGTGCAATCCCAAGGACTGGGAGTTAACACTATCTTATCTAGAGAAAGGCTTTTTCTAAGAAAAATAAGCTACCTACTTGAAGTTTGTAGAAGTTGATGGTAATCTGCAAAATATTAAAGTAAAAGCCTGCATTAAACCAGTAATTTGAATATCACCTAAAAGCTGCAATTTCTGCATCAGCTTTTACATAGTGCTCTCGGTGCTGTATTTCTGCACAAATATAATTTATTAAATGCAGAATAATGCATATTTCTCAAACCAGTATACTAGTTTTTCGGAGGCTCACAATTCGTGAAGGATTGGGAGTTCAGCTTTTAGCTGTAAAGGTGCAAAGTACATTTCATCACGCATCTCTGAAAGCTGAAATGATAATTATTTTGGCAAATATTTCTATCAAGGTTTTGGCTGGAACAAAGCTAATTGTGGGGAAGCAGTTCCCTATGTGGAATAACTAATGCAGCAGTAAGATCACATGGCTGTTGTGAAAAACAGCTCCCAATTCTCAGATGTTATTTATCCAGGGTAATATTGCAGTTGTCTTACCTACTGGTTAAATTTCCAGTGCTTGTCTGGAGATTGGCTGTATCAGATAGTTTGTGTGAGATTATGTAAAGAAGTTCAATGCCATTTGGGTTAGCTTGTGGTTGGCTGTAGGCAATGGAATAGCCATAGGTTATCTTGATGTGTGGTTTTTTTTGTGTATCTGAATCAAGTAAATTTTTCCACCTTCTGTTTATGTGGGATTTTCATGTCCCTAAAGCCCAGCTATGATTGGAGAGCACCTGTTGTGGTAAAGCCTGTGCATCCTGGTGCAAATGTGAGCAGTAGTAGCAGTGAGGTGAAATGCTGGACAACATGTAGCTGTCTGTACACAAATAAGTCTACTGTGTGAAAGCTTTACTATAGTTTCCTTAATCATATTTCATTTGCTTGGATTGTTCAGGTGGTACATTCAGTACTCAGCTTGCCATTTGCAGCACCTGAGATTTCATCTATCACACCAAGCTCACATTTCTGGCTTACCTCAGCATGTGTCCAGCAGAAAAGCTGCTTTAAATATCCATTAATGGATTTGTGTTTCTTTTCTGGTTTTCTGTACTGTACTTAAGTAATGTATCAAAAACAGAAGAGGAGGTCCATTACACAATAAAAGATCACTCTTATTTCCAGCTAATTGCCCTAAAGAGTATTAGAGGGGGGAAACTTGGTTATCAGTGTCAAGTCCCTGTGTAAACCTAATGTGGATTTTCAGACTTAAATGAGTATCTCAGATACTTCCCTTTGACAGAGAGAGTTGTTGCTTGCTTCTAGCTAGATATTTGTTCTTCAGGATGTTGTTTTCAACGAGAAAACAACCTTTTGTTTTTTACATTGGGTAAACATACAACATTGTCATTGTCACTGTAGACAGTATTTCTCACACTAAGCAAACATGCGATAGGCAATGGTGAATATACTATACATAGATTTGTGGAGACCCAGCCCTGTGGCTATTGGTTACTCTCTGTGGTGGCTGAAGTCCTCGTTGATATCTAACAGTTTTCCCACTGTCTTGAGCAATTTCAGGATATTATTAAGTACATATATATACATATATAATTCAAGTGTATATATATATATGTATGTAAATAAATAAAGATGTACTGTTTACAGAACTGATCAAACAAAGCAAAGTAGCCTTTTGCCACCAGAGAGCCATTAATCTAAGGCATACAATATCTTTTTAAAGTCCCATAGGGAGAGTGTTTAGGGATCTATTGCAGGAAACTGGGAATCTTGGACTGGAGGTTGGTGTTTCCACTAGCCTCCTGCTTTGTGGAGCCCCTGTCATGGACAATAAGGTCACCTAAATAAGGTAGCACATATGGCAAGTGGGATTGAGGCTAACTGTATAATTTGAGTAATTCCTATTTATTTTTCTTGTAAATATGAGATCTGATAGAAGGTCTGCCTAAGGCTGAGATATTTGTAAATAGCTGCTGTCACATTGCCTCACCTGGGGATGCTTTCCTTCTCTGTGCCACCTTTCCCCTTGGAAGATCTCTTACAGAGTCTATTTCTATCTAATTTTATATTAAAAAATACTAATTCTGAGACATGCCCCATTGGTTTTGAAGGCAGTTGGGCACTCTCCAGCCCTGCCCCTGAACCCAAACACAATGCTGTGTACCTCACCCCCTCAGACAAAGTATGCTTTTATCCTAATTCTGGCAGTTATACAAGACATTGACCATACGGGGGAACTTCAGTACTCTTCTTGATTAGGCATCCCCTAATGTCTTTGCATGCCTGTGCTGTAGCGGATAGGTTAACTGGTGACTCAAGGTGCATTAAGACCATTTTAGTGCCAGTGTAATCTTCTGTAGCCTTCCTGCTGCAGAACACCCTGAACATATCTCATTTCACTTTGGTCAGGAAAGAGACGATGGATGATTTCATTTTTCCTCAAGTCACTTTTTAAGCTACAGAGTTGTGGATATTTGTTGCTTGTTCAGAGACTTCAACAGCAACTTTGGCATTTCCGCTTCCCTAATGGATGTTGCATGCAGCAATTGGGCTAGGGGAGCTGTTTTGCCTGGAGAGAGGGAGAGAGCATCAACTGGGCCAAGCCTGAGGCACTGTCTGTGCCTGTGGGAAGCTTTACCCAGGCTTGCTTCACTGTACCTTCTGCAGAAATGGGGTCCTGGGATTACAGCTCTTTGATCTCCCTGTGGAAAAATTTCCATTTTCAGTAATGGCCTTTTCTTTTTTCTTTTTTTTTCTTGCCAAAAGGAAATAGAGAATTTCAGAATTTTGAGGACTTCCATAGGGAAATTACAGAGAAGAATTTTTCTTCTGCAGTTCTCTCTCCTTACTGGAAAAATCTGAACAATAAAAGGGACATACAAAACTACCTGCAAATGTGAGCTCTTTGAACAGTAAAAAATTAGAAAAAAGAGACTTCTCAGAAAAGTGGAAAATAGAGAGAGGTGAATATGAAAACTCTTATCCTAGTCAACCAAACCAAATTCAAATCAAAGAAAGAGTTTTTAAAATGAAAAGAAATATCATAGTAAACAATAGTTCCCCTATTCTTTTCAGAGGAAAACAAGCTTTTTCTTGTTGACTTGAGTTAGGCTGACATTAATTATCCCCTTTCCCGGGACTGTTTAGTCAGGAGATTCCTCAACTTTTATTAGGCTAAAACAAAACTACGTGGAAAAATGTGAGAAGTTAGCTGGATCAGATGACTATCACTTTTTTTTCCTTCTTTCAAAACATAGTATTGTGTATAATGGAACAGTGCACACACTGTATTAAAAGAAGTAGCATTTAATATAATTTAATGCAATATTGAAATAGGCATATGTACTTTTTGCTGGATATACAATATAGTGGAGATTTCTCTGAAAGTTCAGAACATTGAGAACTTCTGTGTTTGATAATGTCACAGGGCCTTATTGAAAGGACCAGAGACACCAGACAAAGGCTATTACTCTTAACCAGAGGCACTCCAACCCTATTGTATGTTACTTTCCACTTTTGAGATCCTTGAGGCTCATTACACATCGGCCTTCTTTATAGATTTAAGAGAAAACATTATGGGTAAGAGGATCATGTGGAAATTCCATTTTTTAATAGGGTAATTTTGGGAGGCTATTTTTTCAATTATTTGAAAAGAAAATATGGGAGGAAACTTTGGATCTATGCTTCTGGTATTAGACTCAGATTTGATATAATTATGATTTCAGGAAAATACTATTTGTTTATATACGTTTGTACAGACATTTGAGATAATATCCAGAATAATTAGGCAGTCTCCTAGAAAAAAAGTTCAAATTTGCTTTTGGTTTTTCATATTCTTGTATTCTTTTGGTTGGCTGATGGTCTAGATATATGTAATCATTCCTCAGAGGATGAAGTCAACTAACCAAGCTTTTGAGATCTTCCTAAGCTTACATATCCACGACTTCTGAAGTTACGTATGCTGTTGGACTCTGGATAAACAGTGCATAGGAGGAATGTTCAGAACTTCCACCATACCTTGATGTACATGGCTTAACCAATTCTTGCTTTCACATTCACAGGTACACATTGGTGGATATTTTGCGCGCCATACTTCTTTCTTTAGAAGCCATGATAGAAGACCCTGAGCTTCAAGTGAATGGATTTGTTTTGATCATAGACTGGAGCAACTTCACCTTCAAGCAGGCCTCCAAGCTCACACCAAGTATGCTTAGGTTAGCCATAGAGGGCCTTCAGGTAATATTCTTCTTTCTTTCTTTTCCCAATTCTTTTTTTTTTTTTTTTTTTTTGGCAGTTCATTGTAAATCTGGAAGGCTAAGAAAGCACCAAAACAAAAACAAGAATTATGCATTCTTCCAAATAGCAGGGCTCTTAGCACCTTAATGTGTCTTCAGACAAATTACAGTGGAGGAAGCTAATATGTGAGCTCAGTCTGCTAACTGCACTAAGTCCTGGCATGTAGGCTCCTTCTTTGCCATAAATAAGAGGGAACATCTCTGTCTTTATCCCAAAGTGACTGTCTTCCTGCAAATTCAGACCATAGCTTCTGCAGCTGCAACTTAGAAACAATCAGTTGATTTGTCATTCTGAACGGGCTAATGGAGTGTGGGGTGCTGCTGCCTTGCTAGGCCATTTGTTTTGTTGGCTGTATTGGAGACAAACTCACACTATATCAGTTGGCCTGAAAAGTGTGGGACAGATAGTATTTACTCATGGAAAGGCCAGCATGTGCTTGACTTTTTATTGGGTTAGGATTAATTTGAGTGGCATCTTTTAGGACTGAGTATGCAGTGATTTAAATTTCTTTCTGCTCCTTCTACATGTACTTTACGTGGAACAGGCACAAACGTGGATAACATACTGTTGACTCCTGTGGTTTTTTAATGCTTATTAAAATTAAAAACTGGAATCCATGAAGTGGTTGTTTCCTGTAGAATCTTGAGACACTGTGTTAAAAATACCTGTAATTCACTACTAAACAAGGTAGTGTACTTTGATTTTTCAAGGACGTATACTTATTTTCTGTGATATTTTCATCCTTTTTATGTTTTTATTACTTATAAAGCAGAATAGCAACCTCAACTTTGAACTTGCTTCTTTGATATTGAATTTTGATATTGCTATTTTGAGGAAACATGTATAGCAGTAATTTGGAGTTTTGATCTAAATCTTCAAATGGCTGAAAGAGTACTCAGCCTGCTGTTGCACACAGAAAGGTAGTGACAGTCATTAATGATGATTTGAATTTTCATTTTGTTGTGCTTACTTATGCAATGGTGTACTTACATAGTTTCAAATGTATATCACAAAGCAGCAGCGGGATCTGTGCTTTAAAAGTCCCGTTTTCTTCTATTGCATTCAACATTGTTTTCTTCTTTGTGTTGCTTTTCAAAGTTAGCAGTTGTTTTCTCATTTAGATCATGAATAAATACTTCAGTACTCCTTGCTTTTAAATTATGGTGTCTCTTCTTGTACTTTAACCAGAGGTTATTTTGAGGATGTCAGTGGATAAGTTAGTTGGACTCTTAAACTGTGTTCTCACGGCATTAGTTGTTTCATTGCTGAGTTGAGATGAAGTCCATTTGATTAGTTTACCCATCTGGAGACAAAACAGTCCCCAGTTTTGTATGTGCTAATATCCTCAATCTGACAGTGGTAAGCACCTAGGGCATTATTTTCTCACTGTCTCCAGTCTTGTTGACTTCAAGTAAGTAGAGATGCAACTCTATGTAGATTTATCTTGGAATCAATGAAAAGGGCTCAAGCCAATTGCATTGATCATCTTGGACAGCAAACCCCCCTTCAGAAATAATTATGATGAGGAAAAAAAGAAGAGAATATCTTGGTAGAAAGATTATGCAGAGAAACCCTGGGCAAGGGATGCATTTACTTGCATCTTCTTGCAGCATTTAGTGCCTAAAATATTCCATTTCCTTACACTCTATAATGATTGCCTTTTATTTTTAACAAAAATTTGTAGCAGAAATGTAATTCTGAACAACGTTAAAGTAAGAAGCACTGAGGTAGTATGAAGAAGAATAAAAGCAGCTCAGCCACACAATTTATTTGTGATCTTTGTAAATACTCTCTGTTTAATCATAGAAATAGAATTTACTTTGGCTTATAAGATTTAACAGGGCTCAAGATGCTTAAAGTTACCACTTAGAGAATTTAAATATTTTTCTTACTTGGGTGGGAAGGGAAAATGGGATTAGTGACCACTATATTTGATATTAACCAAGTCTCTTTGCCTCCTCAATGAAATCTACTAAATTTGCATTTTATTTGGTTAGCTTTCATTGTGAATAGAATATGGCAAGTTCCAAACTGAACTTATTACAAGCTATGGCATTTCCAGGCTCTTCATAACTGTTTATTTTTCAAGAAATGTCTATTGAAAGTATAATAAATAAATACATACAGCTTTCCACTGTATGCAGGCTCTGCTTTACACTTTGTCTACACATACGTGTTAAATGGGAGCATGAAAAGAATCATGCCCCTGATTAACTTGAATACATTAGAAAAATATTAAAAGCACATGCAGTTGCTTTCAGGAAAATAACCTTTTGGCTATGGGATTTTTTAATCTTAAAGGACAGTGATTATCTGTGATTCAGCAATTAACTAATATGAATTTCTAGCATATCCATTCCAACTGTGCCGTGCCATCCAGCTGGTGCAGTGTAGACCGCTTTTGATTTTCAGATCAAAGGGGATTACTAGCCAAGAAACGGTTATTGTCTCCTGTGGAGGTTGAGGCAGTTGGCTGGGATTCTTGACACTGCAGTCCTGGCTGATTCACCGGCCTTGTCCTTGTGGAAAAGAGCAATACTCTTCACTGTGGATGCAAGTGGGTGTGGGATTTATGTTGTTCCTAGTCAGTGAGAAAGAATTTAAACTTAGATTCCTTATCTTTCTGTAATGAAGGATAAGCTCATAAGCAAATGTAACATGTAGTATTCTATTTTCTGAGAATGGTTTGTCTAAGTTAGGTAAATATGAGTACCTAAAAGCTCAAGGCTGTGAAATCTGGGCAGAAGGAAGCATCAAATACACAAGAGTGAAACTCTTAAACTCATGTCCTGACTTAGCACCTGGCAAAGTACTGGCTCTTGCCAGAATATTCAGTCCTAATCTTTAGGTGCCCCAAAAGGGAGTTGGCCTTGATGATTTCTTGATGTCCCTTCCAACCTCTGCAATTCTGTGATTCTGTGCAATTCTGTGATTCTTTATCCCTTACTTTTTTCTGTTTTCATAGCTTGGAATACTTGGGCAGAAGGAAGAAAGAGGTTCTAGGTATGATTCTTTTATTTGTGATAGCTGCTTTATAGCTACTTGGGCTTTTATTATTCATCAGGGCACCGTTGTTTTCAGAAAGAAGTTAAAAAACAGTGTCAAAGACTAAAAATTCAATTGCAAAATTATATTGAAAGTTTTTTGCAGACTGGAAAGTTGTGGGCATACACGAAACGCTCTGTGTGATGGCTGATTAACTGATAATTAGGATTTTAAAAACTTGGGCTCTAAATCATTCTTGAATACTTTATTTCTATTTAGCTCACAGTAGTGCTTGTAAACTATATACAGATTGATTTTGCACGTTCCCATACAGATAGGTTTTGCAAAACTGCGTAAGTATCGAAGGCTGAATATTAATGCATTTTGCCTAAGTGAAAAACTGGGGAACAAGAGATAATACCCGTTTACACTGCAAACTGAACATATATGGGGACACTCAGTACTGTCGCAGAAGACAGAAGACTTTCAAATTGAGGATTTTTACAGGGAGATAGTGAAAGCCTTGTGGGGACAAGGCAGGCTGTTCAACTGATCATGACTTCTTTTTGTAACAGAGGGAGGATTCACAAGCTAAAACAAACTGGTTACTGTGAACATGAAAATAAAACAGAAAGATCACAAAGACAGCATATTTGCAGCTACTATAGCTATCCAAAACATCTTTCAGTCAGCTGTTCTTGTGAATTGTGAGCATAATATCCCCAGTCAGATTTGCCTCAGTAGTGTAAAGTGGAAGTAAAAGAGACCAGAGCATGTAGAATCCAGTGATGAAAAGGACAGGGCTTTCTATGCCCATTTTCTCTGAATATAAACTTCATTAGTATCTTACAGGGAGTCCGATCTGAACATTATGGTTGGTTCATTTTCATTTTATTAAATATCCATATACAGTGCTGAAATTTAGTCATCTAGTTCTGTATTACATCTGTGCAACGAACAATTTGTCTGTCAGGATCTACTAGAACAAAGAGCCTCTGAAAATACTATTTTTTTTTTTCTTTTTTTAAGGTTTGCTGGCTATTTGCTGTGAAAAAAGAGTGGGCTGGAGCTGATTGTTAATGCTGGCTCTTCGCCTGATGTTTGGATAGGCTAAACCCGCCAGTTAAGAAAGCTTGAGTGCATTTGCTTACAGGCATGTCTATATACACAGCTATTCTTCAGCATGATCCATGCTGTTAAAAACCTATTATTTGAAGGAAGACTAATTCATTTGCTTGCCAGATTTTGTTACGATGCTCATCAACAAAAGGCACTGTATTCCTTTTTAATGTTAATATATTTATTCACACAAACACACTTTAAAGATATGTGGATACTCTTCTCTCTCTCTCTTTTTTTCTCTCCAGGTGAGAGCTATTCCACTGAAAAATTACTGCTAAAAATGTCTACTAATTTGTGGTGCCCACTGTGATCTTGTTTTTGTGCACTTTTAATATTTTCCTTGTCCAGCTGCCTTTGACTCTCAGTGAGGAGGAAGATTTGAAGATTTGATCCTGAACTGTCAAGCCAGGAGCCTGGATTCTAGCATTATGTAAATTTAAAGTTTCTCATTAATTGCTCTTTGCATCTGTCTCTATGTGGGCTGCTACCTCTTTGAAATAAGTGGTAGGAAGCAACAAAACTTTCTCCCCAGAAATTGTATTTTGCGAAAGCCACAAGGACCTGTAATGGGGTTAAATATCCATCATGCAAATTCTGCTGCTGGAGTTAGTGGAGTAACTGACTGTAGTGGTTTGTCATCCTCTTTTTGAAGCAGTATGAGGAAGAGAGTGGGCACTTTGCCATTGTTTTGCAGCTATTTGCTGTAAGCAAGGCTTGATGAGTTGTGAGGATCCTGGCTTTCATTCAGACTCCTTGATCTAGCTGGCAGATTCTTAGGCCTGTTCCTTCTGCCCTCTTCCCCCGAGCCTTTGTCCCTGTCCTGCCACTGCCTT